ATAAAATGTATGTTTTTCTTCAAATAATTTTAGTTTTCACTTCATTTCAGGTTAAATTTTACGTTGGTATTTTAGAGCAACAATATTTACTTTTAATCATTTCTTTTTATCTTGTTGCTCTGCTATGTTATACATGTACAGACAAAAGCAAAACTGTTCCTTGAACGATTCCTTTGTGTTCAATTCCCCAACATACAATTTACATTTAGAAAGAAAACATAAAATATACAAGTTTTTTTTGTATGTATTTTTTCTTCTTCTTTTTTTTACTTATCAAGGAAGCAGACCGTTTAAAGGAGCAAAGACGGCAAACCTAACAATTGTAATGCTCCAACCGAGAAACCTAATTTACCAATTTGCAGGAAGACAAGATGGCAGGAAACAAGCCAATTTGCCACGTGTGCAGTGCACAGCAAACCGCAGGCTCGCTCCCTGGCCTCATGAGAGGTAATTATCCCTAAAAAAGAATGCCAAGCCGTATTAAGATGTGGCCGCATCAAAACGAGGGAGACAGCCTCATTACAAGTAATTATGAGGGAATTAGAAACATCATTTAACTAAACGAGCAAATAATGTCCAGGATATTGAAGAAGCTGCCTGCACTTCTGCCGACCACTGCAAGTCCCATTACAAAAATTGTAGGTCTTTAATAGAATAATGACATGCTTTATCTTCCCTGATTCCCTCTGAGGGGTTTAGAAGCAGAGGGGATGGACCGAAGGGGGGGGTGGGGGTGTTAAAACAACTGTTGCAGAGCTCTATGTCTCCGTGGTCGCACCCTTGAGTGTGTAGTACGAGGCCTTCAAGATACCCCCATCCACCACCACTATTATCCTTACAAACACAGAAATGGAGAGCAGAAAATTGTATGTAACTGCCATTATTGTGTCAAAGGTAATGCTAATGGACTTATCTCCAGAGTAATGGCTGCATTTTCTACACATACTGTAGTCTGTAATAGTCTGCTGCATATTGTGCTAAGAAGGGCACTTCAAAAAGACAGTTCAAGAAATGGTCGGTAATTTAACAATGAAGAGTGATTCAGTTTGGCGATGGAGGTCTGATTCACTCCTTTTGGTTAAACAATATTCTTGAGGAGTTTTACTTGGAGACCAAAAGGTTTTCTTTTTATTGTGGTTTAAATAATGGCCTTTTTTATTCTACCTTCAAACCACCATATGTCAATATCTGACTTATGAGTCACATCTTTATACTCTTCAAATAGAAGGAATTAAAAGAAAAGCTGATTTTGCTAAAGATATCAAATTAAGAGAAAAAATTATTTCTGTTTAATGCTATGAATTTTTACATAAAACTGATTTCTTATTATTTATTTTATTATTATTCTCATTATATATTTTTACATCACATTAGTTAATAAATGCAATATGCATTATAACTTAATCATCATGTAAAAGAGTAAACCTCACAAAAAGTAATTTTAGTGTAGATAGACTCCATCTAACAAACTCAAAGTAGGCTATAATCAGTTGATCAAACTGTAGGATTCCATAACAGGTGTGGAAATAACGTCTATCATTTTTAAATGTTTGGGATTCAAGCAAGAGTACTGTAAGACTAACTTTCCACACATAGAATAAACATAGAACAGGGAAAAACCTTCCTAATTAAGTTCAACACACTAAGGTTATTAAAAGCACGCATCAACGGCTCATCCAGGAGGTCACAAAAACCCAGACCAACATCCACAGCTGTGGAGACCTTCTTTGACTCATCGGGCATTTGTAAACGTATATCTTGATTATCTCAAGAACTTTTGAGAACACATCAGATGTACTGAAAAGACTTAAGTTGAACCTTTTTGGAAGGGACGTCACTTTAGCTACAATGTGAAACACAAACAGCATTTCAGGAAGAATGTAGTTATCTAATATTTAAAGAAGATGGTGTCAGAATGATGGTGTCTCTGTGGAGCAGAAATGCTACTCTCTAGATGGAAATCTGAAGGAAAATGTCAGTTTTTGTTTGGTTTAGGACTTAAAGTTTAAGCACACTGGGGTTAACCAGCAGGACAATATTTTAAAGGAAACCCGCAAATCCGACTCTTATTGGCTTAAAAAATTGCTTGTTGGGTCCCATTAAAAGTCTGGAATGAACGGCCAATGTATGATGCTATCCAGTGCATTTCGTGATCATAAAAGCTTCCTATGTGGCTGATTTCTGCGAAGGAAAGTCGGAAAAAATTCCTCCAAAAAGGACTTGAAGTTCTCATTGTCATGACAATCACTGGATGTTTCTGACAACGGTGGAAAAACCAGTTAACTTTAGCAAGAACATCATTGTTACACCTGAGGCAATAGTCTGAATGGCTGTTTATCTTTGATAAATTAAAATTATACTCTGATAACAGCATTTTAGGTTTATTGTCTGTTATCTTTAGCTGATATTAAAATTTCTTCATCGGTAACATGCTAGTGTGATAAAAATATGGAAACACACCAAATCTGTAAGCAGTAAATATTTTTTATACGACTGCAGTTTTGTCCCTTCCATTATCATAAAGATTTTCGCCCTCTAAAGTGATTTCTAATGAATCAGTCCATATGTTTCATTTACCTCGTCTTCTGCCTAGTAGCATATTCCATTTCTGTCAGGAGGAAGGGGCTGCGTGTTGGGAGGGGGTTGGTGGGCAAACACAATTTCCCTTCAGCTCCTTCATTTCCAGTTGATATAAAACAGAATCATAAAAAATCGCTCCTGCTCCAAGCTCTCCTTTTTAACCATTAACCCATAAATACAGGAGCTGGTTAAAGCCGGGTGGATGACAGGGCCTGCCTTCAAAAACCTCGTTACGCTCCTCTCAAATTCATTTAGGGAGCAAAACAGGTCTTGAGAGTTGCCTGGCTTAATGCATCGCGATCGCTTTTAAAACTCTTGCCTGTATCTGTTTCTGGTGTTATATCCCTTTATTCTAATAGTAAGCCACACACTCTCTTTTATTTTATAAATCAAATGTCTGTAAACAAGCTGTGAGCTAGCTGAAAGGCCCCCAGCTTAACAAATGATGAAAGGATGGGTTTTTATATAAAATAAGATCTTGAGGAGGGTTATATAATATTGCTGCAGTCTGTTTAAACTCAGAAGTCTTGATTAAGTTAGATTAGGTCTTATCTGAAGATGTAACAGGAGGTGATATCTGGGGATTTTGCTATAATTCATAATGATCCTGTAAATATGTTCTTAAAAAATTATCCTGGGAATCAATTTGCTCGGTGCACGCTCCCTCCCCTCTGCATAGAGCCCACACTTCCCATTACTCCTGTTATAAATTATCTCCCAGAGTGAATTACACTTGCTTTTCACCTTACCAGGACCGTTTGATGAATCCTAAGGCAAAACATATCATCTCAACAAATCTTCATCACCGTGCCAGTCTCCGTCTCTTTGCAGTTTTAGCCACTTCAAATCATTTTCATTGCTCTGCTATTAAAATTTGTAATTCACGCCTGCCATTGCAGTGATACATAGTTACATAGAGCACTCCTTCCTTGCCAATGTGTGCTGCACATCTCTTTCTCTCTCTATTCCTTGTCTTGTAAATCAAACACCTGAGGGTGACAGGTCATGCAGATTTCCCACAAGTCAGTGGGGTGCAAACATCCATCCAAGATGCGGCACATTGCCATCACACATGATGACATAATGACCACTTGGAAACTAATAAACAGCTTCATTCAAGCAAAGCTATTGCTCCTTTTTGTAAGCATTACTGCCCCCCCCACCCTTTCTCTCTTCTATCTGTCACAAATTCATCCTCCTGCACCTCACCTCCTCCTCACCATGCAGCCAGAGTTACCCATAAATCACATCTGTTGTTTAACGCTATCCATTTTCCCTGAAACACGGGGCGGCTGTTACAGAAATTGGGTCAGGCATAATCTGCGATGCAGCAGAGCCCAGCTAGTCATGATTTCTGCGAGGTAATGTTAGCCATTAGTGCATGGAGAAAGACAGGTTGGTTAGACGGAGGGAGAGAGGGATCAAAAGGGTGGAAAGGTCGCTCACCTTGCAGCCTACACGATGTAACACCCAAGAAAATCAGGCAAATGGCACCATTTTTTTTACCCATCCCTCAACCACCAGACACCTGAGAGCATAAACGTGAGTTTGGCAAGGACTCAGTGTGTAAAAAGGTCCAGGTGTTGGTTTCATATTTGCATAAATTGAATTGTTACCATTTTTTTTATCTTCTTTACAGAATGGAAGCTTTTAAAAATCGAACAGGTATCTAGAGGACAAGGACACACTGTCCAGGATGGTACAAGCGGCCTGTCCTGTAATCCATTACACACATAGAGAATAGAGATACAGCTCAATGACAGTCATAGTCTTGAACTTTTACAACATACCTCCTTCTTAGGTTTCCCCCCTCCCCGCCTTTACCAGGCCTGATGCTTCTTAGAGTCATTGGAGAAAAGTCTTCAAATGAGAGAATATCCCGCCCAGAGGCAGGATTGGCTAATGATAGTGAGCATCCCATTCCTGTCCTGAAAATATGCTTTATCTACTAGTGTCCATCTCCACATTTACCACAGACTCACTGCTTGTATTCTATATTAATGTAAGATTAATACAAAAAGGGCTTCATTTTTTTGTGTCTGTTTTTATATTAGCATGTATCTTGGAAAGCAGGCAGACTAAACATTTTTTTAAACAATACATATATATATATATATATATATATATATATATATATATATATATATATATATATATATATATATATATATATGGGTGATGTAAAGGCTAATTAACCCGAAATGCAGATACAATCCCAAAAGCAAGAAATCCTTTCCTAATTTGATTTTTTTTTTATGTAGCACTTCTTTGCAGTCAGCAGGAAAGATATTTCTTTTTGTATTTTTTATTGTTGTCGCATTTAAAAGATAGAAAAAGTCATACTAATTCCAAAAAGGCAAAAATAAAAGAAAAATGCCACATCATAAAATAAAGCAATCCGAATCATCACTGAAATAGAAAAATTTATTGAATGTAATTATAACTGAGGGTCTAAATTACAATAGAAAACAATGATATATTTCATTATGTGTACGAATATGTGTCTTTGGTAAAATAAAATAAAAAAATCCTTTATAAATAAAAGTGTAAAGCAGCTCCTTTTAAATCTAGACATCCAGGTGTTTTTTTTAAGTCTTGAAATCAATGTTTTAAATGAAGATAACAATTAAAAAAGGTACAAATTTGTTGTCATCGTTGTCAGTAATACACATGGTGTATTTTATATGTAGGGGAAGCTTGATTGCTTTCTCTTTTAACTTACAGATTTTTTTTCCAACAAATAAAGTGATACAATTATTATACATGGAGGTTATGGAAACACCTATATAAATGTTGTATTGTTTGAAATGCGTCTTTTCACCCAGACTGCAGTGTTTATTGTAGAGAACAGTCCATCAGTACTCTATTTTGTTGTACAGGTTGTATAAAGGTAACGCTGGCAGGTTGCTCCCCGGGTAATAAAGGGGCGTCGGGAAGGCGATGGACCGAGGGACAGGGACACGCAGGAGGTTGTTATCTCTGAAAACCAGCGGCATCCCCACTAGTGTCTGTGCGGAGGCGTGGGCCATGTTGGCCGCCTCCAGCTCGGCGGAGAGCTGCCTTTTCCACTTATTCCTCCTGTTCTGAAACCAGGTCTTGACCTGAGTCTCCGTCAGCTGGAGGCTGGATGCCAAACAGGCCCGTTCTGAGCTGCTCAGGTAGCGCTTCATGTCGAAGGTGGACTCCAGCTGGTACACCTGGCTCCGGGAGAAAACCGTACGCGTCTTTTTCTTAGCAGAATTGCCGTGCTTATCGGCGCCGTCCGCTTGTCTTTCCTCCGACAGAGGCGACAGCTGATGGCACGGTCTGTCCTGTTCCTTCTTGTAATCCTGGAGCAGAGGCTGGGACAGGTGCGGCCGCCGTGCGAGTCCGTCATTCCCAGACAGAAGACCTTTAGCGGCACCTGAGTGCATGATGAGAACCATCCATGATTGGTTTTGTAATGCTTTAAAAACAATCACTCAGAATACGAATTAAATACCAAGACACCGTAGAGTCAGCTTGACTTAAACTAAATGAGAGCCACACATTTGCGAATGCTTAAATAAACATATCACGTCAGAGAGTGTGCGCACTGCAGCTTCCGCAAGCTATTAATTAAATTCCGCTGTATTTAACGCACAATTGACGGTGTGAGTGTGTGTATGTGTGTGTGTGTGTGTGAGTATAGGGCCTGCTGCAGCCATTTTGGAAACATGTTTCATCAATTAGTGAGCTCAATTAAATTTGAAATGAGAGGATAGACATAGGGCTATTTTATCAGACCTTCCACACCAACCATTGCTTCTGCGCTGGTGCGCACACAGGAGAGGAGGGGAATAGGCTGTGTGTGAATGTTATAAACTTAAATATTAACTAATTAGATATAATCTGAAGTGTAAATAACATTTATTGTAGTGTCGACGGAAACTACTGCAAAACAATACAACAACACTAATAATAATGGTGATAATAATAATAATAATAATAATAATAATAATAATAATAATAATAATAATAATAATAATAATAATAATAAAAAATAGGTTTCTAACCTATACAGGAGAAGTTGTGGGCTTGGTGCTGTGCGCACGGCTCGCTGTGACCCGTCTCGGAGCAGAAGCAGTCGGCTGAGTCCTCCCCTCCGCTGCATTCCTCCTCGGAAGACACCGACAGCGAGCGCCTACGCGTCGGCGACGGTCCCTTGGACAGCTCCTTGGCTCCGGAGCGCGGCTCATCGGACGGCGTGCCTAAAATGGATTGGATAGTAAAGCTGGAAACGGGGCCCGACGAGCACTTGCTCCCGCTGTCGTCTGCAGTACTCATTCTCGCTTCATAACAGTATCGAAGTATTGACTGAATCGGACTGTCCCGTTGGATTCCGTGGTTGCGTTCTAGCCGACTGACGCGTAAAAATGACCAAAGCTTCTTTTGTCCGTCTTTTTTTTTTCTTTTTTTTTTTTCTTAAAACCCCCTATTCGCTTTTATTGCGTTTTAACTCTAAAGGAGTTGGAGGTGTTTTTTCTAGAGCTCGGGGAACATGAGTGTATTCCCGGTCCTCCTCCTCACGCTCTGGATCCGAAGCAACAAAGTTGCGTTGATTCATTTGCATGTAGGTAAGCTCCTACTGGGCCAATCGCAGCCCCCAGTATGAGCCCGGAAATTTCAAACGCCTGTCAATGTTTTGGGATGACAAACGGAGAGGGAGAGAGCGTTTCTGTACCCTAAACTGCAGAAAGTTATTCATAACTCAGGTAAATTAATATGCTATAATTATATAGCCACGTTGTTATTTCTTTGCGCAGATAATGTTTAAATGAGGCTATTGCTTTAGAATACATGGTGAGAATTTCAGTAACTAAATTAGTCTTCTATATTCTCTTTGGTATTTAGGATGGGTGTACATTAAATACATATTTTTTTAAATAAAAAAAATGTAATGCTCTTCTGCTGTCCAGCCATGAAATGACCTTAATTAAAACCTGTCAGGTTGGCTTTTTTGTATGCATGCCAAATTGGATGGGGTTACAGTAAGTACAAAGCCTTTGGAACTAAGACAAAGACCAACCTCATTTCCCCTCTGAAAATAATAAACTCATTCCTTGTCCATTATCTACAATTAAGAATTAATTTGATAATTACTGAGCTACTCTGCCTCGCGATGACCGTCCATGGAGTGGAGGTCGGCTAATTGATTGACTAATTGATCGGAGTTGGTGGGAGGCTGAGGGCCCATGGTGAGCGCATCCACACCTTCTGAACATGTGTAATCACCTCACTCAGACTGCAAAGAGATATGCAGGGCCGATCCAAGCCATATGGCAACAAAGCTGCTCTTTCGGCCCCCAGACCAACAGGGGGCTCACTTCACAATTCTCAAATTTGAGATTTGAACTTAGATTTTTCTCAATAACTTTCCTAACCTACATTCTTATTGAAATTTGTGTAACTTTTTCTGAAAAATATCTTACACTTAAATATAAGGTTCATTTATCTTTTTAATTGGCAAACATGCTTTTTCAGTGGAAGAAAATCTTCACAATATTCTAGTTGTAATTAAGTCAGCATGTCATGCCTCTTTTTTTTTTTATTTATTTTTTTTTTTACCATATGTCCTTTCAAGTCAAATTTTTCCACAACTTCATAATTCTGATAAATTACATATCAGTGTCTATTTGATTAGTCTAAATCTATAATATACATTATAATGTAATCTATAATGCATCCAGGAACATTTAATTATTTATTGAGCAAATTAAATCTAAAGATTGATCTAATCTAGTTTAAGTTCAATGTTAATTGATGAACATCACTTTATTTGAGTTTGTACAGATATTTAAACGTTTTTGGCTCTTTTAATGTATTTTATATATCACACAATTAATTATAAACAAAAAAAATAAAATAAAATAAAAAATAAAATCCATTAGGTCTATTAATGACACATATATTCCAGAAAGCACAGACCGATTATGATGTAGTTTCAATCATGAGGTGCTAATATATGCACTGGAATGTAAAAGACCATATTTTTGTTTACCTTAGAGCAAACTTTTGTGATGAAAGTGGTAATTAAAGATTTATATTTGCAGTGGTTTTCCTGCATAAATATAGGAAAAACCCGTCATTATTCATCCATTTTGAAATGCTCTCATGTTAACTTGGTTATAAGACCAAAATAACTTGAAATATAATTTGGGTCGCTGAGCATGTTTTAGAAGTATCAAATACACAATATTAAATACAAATTACAGAACAATTTTACAATTTGATTATTCAAGTTTTGTATCCTCTTTTTTGAGATATTCAAATGCAAAACAGAGGCTTAAAAACTACAAAATACGCCTTTAGTGTAACTCTTAAACTCAGCAGAGAATTAGATATCAACAGATATCAGACAGATCTCATTAGATATGTATTATTTATTTAAGTGTTTGTCATATTCCCTGCATAAATGCACCCTGTGCAGTTATTTCCCACGTTAAAAACCACCCGTGCATTTTCTTATAGCAATACTTCACTAGCTGAGGAAATACATGTTATTTTTACCTTAATTGTTAAGAACTGTCTCAACCGGGCTCAATAGACTCAGTTTAAACATAGTCACTTGTTGGAAGTTTAATTATTGTTTTAAACTATATTAGCAGTTTTACACTAAAAAGGTATTTCTGACAGCGGATAAACTATGAACAGTACAGAATAATTCTCCATATAAACAATTATAGGCAAATGAACATTTGGACTGAAATTACCAACTGTGTTTTTATACTGGTACCCCCCCCCCCCCACATGGTGGAATGGCGCCCTGGGCAGTGAGCCTTACTACTTATATTAAAGCCTATAACGCAACAGGGTAGATTTACTGTAAATGCTGGCATAAAATCCGCAAAATTAGAACACTAATTGCGCAATATTGTCGTAATAACTGTAGTAGGGCCTCCATATGCAATTCCCCTCTGGTAGCCATATGACTCTGCGTGTCAGTGACCTTCTTTGTTTTAGCACAAACGGCATGTTGTTTGGACAGTCTGGGAAAAAAAGAAGCGAGAATTGGGTTAATTATGCAGGTGAGGAGACGCTGCTGATGCTGACATCAGATCCTGCCATCGTCAGAGGCATCTGGAGCCGTGCGTAAATATTCTGAAGTGGCCGCGATGCCAGCAGCTGCTAAACGGTCCCGCGGAAAGGAGGGAGGGGGGATTATATGAGGGCAGTCTAGGCGGATGCTGGATTTATGATGGTAACACATAAGGCGTGAAATCTGCAATGACGCTTAAATGGGTTTATTTTTTACATGCAGCTCTTGTCATACAAAGACCTGTGTCAGTGTACCTACGCGTACAAAGTGGTGATGAAAGTGGACACAACGCGTTATGTTCTAGGGAATATATTACGCATGCTGCTTTGATGGGGAAGCTGACGTTTACAGAGCAGTTGTGGTAAAAAGTGAGCCGTGGTTTGTCCTGGTATGGCAACAATCACACCCTCTCTATGTGTCTGTGCGTCTGAGGGCCTAAGCAGCAAGGAGCGCGCCTTAAGTCCATGCTCTATCACTATGATAGGTGGTGTACGGCCGGCCTACCGCAATAACTGAACAAGATCTTTAGCAGGAGAGAAAGCGCTGAGAAAGACAGATGAAGTTATGAGGCGCTTTGATCTGGGAATCAAGCTCCGATAAATATTAAACAAAGAGCCTATACACGTGTGTATTATGATGTATGGCATGTCCAAGTCTAGAATAAGGAAATTACCAGAGAAAATGATATCAATAAATTTTCTAAGTATAAACGTTGATTATGTTTCGATTTTCATTCAAGAAAGCGTTGGCCGCTCCTTTTTTTCCTCCGTGCGCGCCTTTCCTGCATGCGTGTGCGTGTGAATAAAGGGGAGAGAGAGAAGAGAGAGTTGCAAATGCAAGCAAAGCAGCCGAGCCCTGAAGGTGTACAATTTATGTAATCTGAGTGTGGAAATGAACTGGGTAATTTATTGGAAAACACAAAGTCAGGAAGATTGGATCAGCCACAGCCTATCCAAGGGCTCCTATCCATCAAGTTCCAATTAACAACCCAACCATTGAGTTTTAATGGCTTTCCAATCTACTGCCCTGATAGACTCATCAATTCCTCGGGGAGAAATTAAGAAAATCGACCGCCCCCTCGGCGTTCCAGTGTCATTCTTCACAGCAACTATATGTCAAATTAAAAACACAATTAAAATTTAAACTGTTCCAATCAGACGCTGCTCTGCAACCTATGTTTCGCTTAATAGAACTTTGATGAAAATCTGATGCCCGCGTTCAATCAGGAAAGCAAATGGCATCAGTAGAAAAACAAGATTTCCTCCTCAAACACACGATATTTGACACAGCACGTGGTGAGGGCACCAACTTTCTCTGGCTGGAGGTTTTTAGTTGGTAGCTGACGTTTAGATGTTCTTTCACAATCAAAATTGTCCATTCCAACAAGCATTTTGAATGATTAAGTAAGGGAAACCTCAGATTAGAATCAGTCTCTTAAATAGATTCAAACTCTAAAAAAAAATGTTTTAACACAAATTCAAACGGAAAAGTTTGAGGGGGTTAAATAATTTATTTATTTCACAATTTTATAACATTTCCAACAACTCCTTAAACCCCAACTTCCACAGTGCTTTCTCAACACAGGAGATTGCTGCAAAGCCTCAGTCAATCACGTGATCTTGGTAAATGCTTGGTGATACTTTTGGTTAATAAACTTTTATCAGTTAGCATTGTAAATCAAATGAACTGAACTTTTTTTTTCTACAGTCTTTAAGTTTGCATTTTTTGTGAAAATTAAATGAATCAATTAATTGCTAAATTACATGTCTGTTAAAAATACCTACAGGGCAATATCTCCTGCTTCCTCCCTACCATGACTGCCTGCGAGCCTGCCTTTAAAATATAAGTTTAATGTTCACCATTCATGAGTAAAATATTCTGTAAAATTTCTAACTATGGTGGTTTAAAATATTATAATCCATAACAGCACGCTGTCTCCCTCGTTCTTAAAAGGGTCAAAAATAACATGGTAAGAGATTGTAAAAACCTCTGAACTTTTCTTACTGGTTTTGCTTCAAGTAGACCCATACCACACCAGGTCTATAAGTAGCACCCATCCATTTGACCCCTTTAAAACTCTCTTGATGCACCCCTGCTCATGGTTCACATTTTAGGGTTTGTTGCATTGACAAGGTTCTTGACATGGACACTTTAGTTTCTGTGCTCAACACTTACCCACAGAGAGAACAGGTTGGTATTATGCAAAAAGTTAACTTCAATAGTGCTTCCAAATTGAAGTACTGTATAGGGACTGGTGAATATTATCCAGTCAGGTCTATTTTAATGCAATAGCCAATACACAGTGCGCTTAATCTTTCCTTCCCTTTTTTTGCCCCACCCCTGCTTTACATAAAGATGTCGTACCAATGGAAATTATCGAGTGGCCATTTTTGTTTTCCAATTTATGCGCGCAAATCAAGGTCATGAGCCGTGTTCTTTACTTGACGCAGCGTGCTGCAGACATTCACGGATCAATATGTGCCAGAGGAATAATACCATACTAATCTATTAATTTGCAGTAATGGGGCCGCGATGAGTGTTCACGAAAAGGTGCGCGTCAATATACTGGGGTGATTTGATAATATTTGAATGAACCCTTTGTCTGTTGATGAGGTCATCATATGAGTTTATGCTGACTGATTAATTTCCAATAATGAAAAGAGAACGGCCTCAAAGGGGTGTAAAGACTTCCAAACAAATACATAAATACACACACACACACA